TCAAGCACACAGTTTTTATGCATTTTGTGCTGTGTAACAGCGTTACAAAACGCATATTGTCACGGGTTTGCCTGTATGTGTATAAGTGTGTGTGTGTGTGTGTTTGTGCGTGTGTATGTGTGCCCCACATTTTGTCCCGCACTTTCAACTCGGGAACCACAAAAGCTAGGCGGCTGGAATTTGGTATAGTTTTCCCCGCTATCGGGTGACGCGGCAAATTTAAATTCAACCTTCCCGTACCCGCGGGTAACACATGCGGACCCGTGAAATTTTTTTGCGGGTAAATTAATATCTCAGGAATCACGGAGTCTAGGAAGCTGAAATTTTAGGGTAATAACCCCCTGTCCACGCTCAACCTTGCCTATTCAAATTCAGCGTTCCCTCGCTCTCGAGTATCACCTACGATCTCGTGAGAATTTTGGCGGGTAAGCTATTAACTCGGGAATCACGGAAAGATATTCGCCCTTCAAGGTTTCGAATTCAGCTTTCATGTGCTGATGCGTGAAATTTTTAACTTTTTTCCAATGTTTGAACTTTTTTTGCGTAGACAAAAGTATAAAGCAGTGAAAATCATTAATAGGCAATCGTTCTATGGGCTGAATTGCACAAAACGCATGATAGCACCGGCTAGTCTGGTGCGCGTTGCTAATTGTTGTCCATTAGTTCGGGTTAACTGTAGGAAATTGCAGCAAAGATTCGCAGGATGTAAATGCGCAAGAATTGCTAGAAAAGAAGCGGGTAGGGAAAGAAGTATCGCGTGAGCAGAAATGGTTACGCATGCTGTCGCGGTGGAGCGATGGCAAAGCTCCGAGCGAGAAACTGAGAAAACGGGTATGGAAGGGCATTCCTGAAAAGCTCAGGTCATTGGTAAGCGCTTACTTACTTCAGTCAAATATACATTTTTCATCATTGTGGTATGATTGTTTTATTCTCTCAAGGATTTATTTTCGACGATTCATCCGGTTTTTCGTACGCTTTAAGAGATTGGAAGCAGTACGAAAGTGCGAAGGTATTATTGTGCTGCCTGATCAGACCCGCTGGAGGCTTATACTTCTCATAGTCCATCCTCTGTTCACTTTTACGGGCATTTTGCAAAACTTTAGCCTTGTGATTTTTTTAGCCCGCTGTCCGATCTGCATGTCTGTTTCTGCAACGACATGATTTTATCTGAGTTGCAAATACGCTTTTCCATGTGGCAGTTCCTTGATACTTGTATTCGTCACTTCTGAGCACTCGTATTTTGATCAGCATCACCAAAATTATCTGTGTTATGTTCGATTCATTCAGTTCGAGAAAAATTAGATTATCTGTAGATTAAGCGTTCTGTGACTGCCTACTTCGCGAAAATCAGTGTACTGCGTTCCGTTCGCACGTAAGAGATAACAGCGTATTGGTCGGGAGATGGAATAAGGATATTACTCAAAAAGAGTCATTCTGGCTTTTAGAGTATTCATTGGATTTACATTTTCATGCGTGTTATGCTACAGTAGTTGCACGAAACATACATTGTTGAAGCCCTATCTGTGCGTATGTGTTTGTATGTGTTTCGAGTGCATTTTATCCGGTGTTTTCAACTCAGAAACCAGAGAAGCTAAGAAGCTGAAATTTTAATAAAATGTTCCCCACCCACGTGCAACCCAGCAGATTTAAATTAAGCCCTTCTGCATGCCCGAATAATACGTTCAGTCCCGTGAAAGTTTTGGCGAAGAAATTATTATCTCGGGAACCACGAATTTAAGGCATTGTCTCTTGCATACGTGCAGCATCGTAAATTTAAATTCAGCTTCCCGTTTGCTTGGGCACCATGGCTCCGTGGAAGTTTTGGTGAGGGAAATTTTTGTTTCGGAAGTCATGAAAGCTAGGAACTAAAATTTTGGGATAATTGTCCCTGCCCACGTACAAATGGGCAAATTTAAATCCAGCTTTCACGTAAGCCTGGGCTTTGCTTGCGGCCTCGTGAAAATTTTGGCAGAAAAAATTATCTCAGGATCGAGAAGAGGTGGGAGGCTGAAAACTTCAGAAAGATGTTTTCTGCTCATGAGGGACAAATTCAAACTTAGCTTTCAACTATAATGAGGTCTCAAGCATAATTCTTTGAAAGTTCTGACGCGAAAGTTAGTCGGGAGCCAGAAAGCCAGGGAGTTGAAATTTTGGAACAGTGTTCGCTGTTTAAAATTGAGCTTTCACGTACGTTTGTCTTCTGCGTATTGATAGGTGGAATTTTTGATGGGGAATTTCGCAGCTTAGGAACCATACAGCATATCAGCCATTTTTTCACAAAACAGAGTAAATAAATAGCAACGCAAACCAGACTAGCCAGTGCGATCATGCGTTTTGTGCGATTCAGCCCATCGAACGATTGCTTATTAATGGTTTTTACTGCTTTGTACTTTAATCTATGCAAAAATAGTTCATATATTGGAAAACAGTTAAACATTTCGCGCACCTGCGTATGAAAGCTGAATTCGAAACGTTGAAAAGTGAATATCTTTTCGTGATTCCCGAGTTAATAGTTTACCCGTCAAAATTTTCACGAGATCGTAGGTGATACTCAAAAGCGCTAGAACGCTGAATTTGAATGGGCAAGGTTGAGCGTGGGCAGGGGTCATTCCCCTAAAATTTCAGCTTCCTAGTCCCCGTGGTTCTCGAGATAATAATTTGCCCGTAAAAACTTGCAGTAGCCCGTAGGTGATACCCGAGAGCGCGGGAACGCTGAACTTGAATGGGCAAGGTTGAGCATGGGCAGGGGGTCATTACCCTAAAATTTTAGCTTCCTAGCTTCCGTAGTTCCCGAGATACTGATTTTATCTGAAAAACTTTTACGGGGCCGTACGTGTTGCCCACGAGTACGGGAAGAATGAATTTAAGTTTGCCGCGTCATCCGCTGGCGGGGAAACTGTACCAAAATTTCAGCCTCCTAGCTTTTGTGGTTCCCAAGTTGAAAGTGCGGGACAAAATGTAGGACACACACACAAACACACACACAGACAACCCCGTGACAATATGCGTTTTGTACTGCTGTTACACAGTACAGAACGCATAAAAACAGTGAAAATTCTTAGGAGGCAAGCATCCAATGGCTGAAACCGCATAGAAAGCGTGGCCGCACTGGCTGCTTTGGTGCGCGCCACTATTTATTCTTCGTTATTTTATCTAATCATAGTTTTTAGATAGCTATAATGCTCTTAAGGATAATGCTGCTCTTGGGTAATGCTGCTCTAGATGTGCTCAGTCCAGGCTCTAAAGCTCTGATGCGTATGGGAGCATTTCAGTAAGATCATAAGCATAGGATACCTGGACTAATGCCTAGGCAGTCTTAGTACTCGTTGAACTATTCATTGGAAATTTGTTAAATTGTTTCATATGCAATTGTTTTTGAAGACACATGTCGCTTCTTTATGTTTGTTTTCCAGCTCAAATGTGCTATGTCTATTTTTGTTTTCTATTGTTTTATTGCTTCACTAATTGTCAGGAACTTACAGAAGAAAAGGGAGGAGGGGACACTCACGAAATTTATTCAAATTACTTTTATGTAGAAGTGGTCAATGACGGTATTGCTTCGCTGCGTATTTTCCTCACTGATTTCTTCGGCACAAAGACAGCACATCGGTGTTCGTCTGCTAAATCCAAGTGTGAACTGATGACAGCCTGCGAGTTGCCACTTTGAATTTGTAGTCTGAAGAGCAGCTTGAGGTGTGGCAAAGTGTGATAATTGTACACTGTTTTGAGGTGTGGGCTCGACTGCTTGAAATCAACCGATATCAGCAGGAGCGGAAAGGGAATGTGTATCGCGAATTATTGATGCGTGCGCGACTCACATCGAAAGATGTGAAACAAATCGATTTAGACATCAATCGTACCTACCGCGATCATTTGGCATTTCGACGGCGATATGATGTCAAGTGAGGGGCATTTTTCTTCTCTCAAGGTCATCACTGTAGTTTTAGGCCATACTAGAAAAAAGAACTGCGCTGTGGTCATTGGTGATAATGAGAAATGTCGGATAGTTAATGCAATGCTAGACGAATACCACCAAGGTCGCCGATGAGACAGAAGGTTATGCCTATGTGGAATTAGTGTGACATACTGTCAGAGGCAAAGAAGATAGTTACTTTGCCGGCTTTATCGGTAACGAGAAAAAAATAATTGAGCAGCACACCGACTACCGGTGCGAAGATGCGTTTTTTGCACAGTTCCCAGCACGATTTTGTTGTTAACGGCAATGTTTTTCTGGCATATGCTTTTAGCTAGAAGAATTGAGACTGCCTACCACGGCTATCAGATAACATCCCCTTGGAATTTCAACCTTCTAGCTTTTCTGATTCCCAAGTTAGCAACTTACTCGCCAGAAATTTTCGCAGGCCCGTACGTGAGAGCCAGACACCCTTGGTGGCTGAGTTTGAAGTCACTAGGCTCTACGGGTTTGGAGAACATCACCGTAAAATTCAGCTTTCTAGCTTTTCTAGTTCCCGAGTTAGCAGCTTATTCGCCAAAAATTTTCAGAAATCCGTGCTTGGAAAACATGGATAAAAGCGTCCATTTTGATGATAGAAGCCCATGCATGAGTATAGATTAAGTTCTCGTTCAGCCTTTTTGCTTTTCGGTACAAATGAAAAATCGGTACAAATGAACAAACATACACACATAGTATGTGTTTGTTCATTTGTACCGATTTTTTTTTGCATTGCATAAAATGCAAGAACGCATACTGTATGTTTGTGTGATGCAAAAAAAAAAAAAAAAACGCATAAAAACGCAGCACTGAAATAGCAGCTGTGAAAAATGTGAAGTGTTTCCTCATTGAAGTGGCTTTTTTTTAAAAGATTGACGAATTTAGTTGTTAAAGACACCTTCGTTTTATTCAGACAGCAATCGCTATTTAACGTACTGGTGGCTTACGCAGTATACAATACGGAAGTGAGTTACTGCCAGGGGATGAGTCAAATTGCTGCGCTTTTTTTGATGTATATGGATGAGGAAGAAGCATTTTGGTGTATGCACGCACTACTTGTTGACAAAAAGCATTCCATGCATGGTACGTGAACTTTCTTGCTTCTAGGCAGCCAAGATATGTTCGGCTTCAACACCAGTGTCATTAGTGAATTAGCTAGGGTAGTTGGGACCTTCACCCTTTGTTTAGTTCTTTCTGCACTCAGAAACTTCCCCAGGCGTTTTTTGAACAGAAACATTTTAGGGAGCTTTTCCTCCAATAGAAAAGCCTCTGAAGCACTGCCTTACCCCGGTAAATTTTTTGATTTACGTCCAGATGTGAAAATGAGGATCCTGGTAGACAATTCTTCATTTGCTACCAAAAGCTTCTCCCTGCGGAAAGGCAGTTCCTTCCTTTTCCACTGCAGCACTGTTTTCCATAAAACTGTTTGAGTAGAAGCTGAGCTTCTTTATCTGTAGGCAGGGCTTAATGCTGCCTTCTAATTATTGAATTTGCGAAGGAATAAGTTCAAAACGATAACGTTTTGAAGCCATCTAGGTGTTTATTTTCGAGTCGCAGATACAACAAGTCGCTATGTCATATTATTTAAAGCTTTCTTGCGCAAATATCTGCTCGTCTTTGGCTTTTTATTTGACATATGCGTTGTGCGTTTTAGTACTGGAATCGTTGTGCAAATTTATGCAATGTTATTTTATGCAAATTTTCAGGCTTTTTTATTCCGGGCTTTCCAAAATTAGTACGTTTTCAAGCACATTATGAAAAAATATTACAAAAATATCTTCCTCGCCTGAAAAAACATTTGGTAGGTTCTTTTTTCAAATAAATTTTTTATTTTTCAGACCTTTTTGTTACTTCTGTTTCATTCTTCTCTACATCCAACTGCTGCATGTTAGCCTTCTGCAAATAAAGCCTCTACGGCTAGTTCCTGATTGATCTCTTCCTGTAGGTTATAGCATTAAGAAAATGACATAGTAGGCCCGCTGGTAGGTGGGCTGATGAACGAAACAGGTTGTGGGGTCGAAAGATTGGCACTTGGTACACATCAGCATTTTCCTCAGGTAACTGAAACTAGAACACGAATGCCGGGACCTTTAACAGACTGACCATTCGGTGATGCAGCTTTAGTCACAGTAATTATACAAGGTACTTGCGAAGGTGCATAACGAAACTGCAACTAATCGATATTCATGTATCGTGAACCAGCTCGTTGGCTCATGCTTTGTAAATGAACGTATGGGAGTGCTTTTACTCTGTTCACTGCTGATGCATAAATGAAAAGTTTAGGAGTTTCAAATTAGATCCAAACTGGGTTTTCATCAAAAGTTGAACAAACATTAAATACTTACGCATTTTTAATACTTGGATCATCCGTAATTCTTTGCCTGATTCCCTTGTTATGCAGTGCATTGAGCAACTTTTCCAGTCTTTTTTCTAAATTTTATGGATTTTCTCCACAAAGGATCTTGCTTCACTGCAAAAAAGACTTATAAAGGTGTTGTCTACAGAGTTTGATGGAAAAATGGTTTTTTTTTTCTGTGGAATTTTCCAAAACCACAATTGTCTACTCTATAATCATTCCTGTGTTATAACGACTTCGTTGCTCTTTTGTTCACTTTTTGCTTTTTAGGATAAAACAAGTATTCCTCCAATTTATTTGACAAAATGGTGGTTCGGTTGCTTTCTGGACCGGGTACCATTTCCATTGGCATTGCGATTATGGGATGTTTTTTTGCTGGAAGGTGATGTAATACTCACTGCAATGGCCTACAATATCATGAAAATGCATGAAAGTATGTTTGGTTGCTTCTCTGGCATTGAAAAGGACTTTACTTTCGATTTTCAAATTCAGAAATTGGATAGGGATTTATTTGTGATAAATGGAAAGGCAAAGATGAAAGTCGTTGAAAAGGAAATCGAATAAAGACCATTTTTTCCCTGGAAAAAATGGGATAATTTCTCGCAAGCAAAAAAAAAAAATTTCGTCGTTATGCGTTTTGTGCTGTGTAACAGCAGTACAAAACGCATATTGTCACGGAGT